AGATTTTCATGGTCATTAAATCCGGCGATCTTGCAGGCCATGCAACGGGCCCACTGCTTCCAATCCACGTTGCAGGAAACGTTGTGTGGGGAAAAAAACTTTGTGAGTTGCTGTTTCTTGTGGTGAAAACTGTACACTCCTAGCTCTGTTTATTTTCTCAATAAAAATGTTTAAAATGTGTGTACTCTTTCTCAGACACCCTGTATAATTAGACTGATCAATTCAAGGAGGATGAAATGGGCAGGATACTTAGCCCGCATGGGAGATAAGAATGCATACAGGGTTTTGGTGGGCAAACCAGAAGAAAAGAGACAACTAGGAAGACGTAGATATGGGTGGGAGGATAATATTAAAACGGATTTTAGATAGATAAAATGTGGTGGCATGGACTGGATTTATCTGGGTCAGGACAGGGACCAGTGGCGGGCTCTTATGAAGACGGTAATGAACTTTCGGGTTTCATAAAAGTTTTGAAATTTGTTGAGTGGCAGAGCGACTGCTGGCTTGTCAGGACTCCTCTCCATGGAGTAAGTAAGCAAGTATACTTCGTTGAAACACTTTCCAATCTTGTTTGAACTGTGTTTTCGACAATATAGTCCCTATTTCTTACGGCTTTTAAACAAAAGTCATCGAAAGTCTCGGCTGAAAGTCTAGTCACTCTTTTTCGTATTCGGGAAATCCCGCATTCAAATCTCAGCTCAAAAACCAGTTATACTGACAAGGTTTTCCTGGTTTTCCTCAGTCAAGAAGTAATCCGGGAATACAGTTACAATACCTTAAAATTATTCCACTATCAGTTTTACATTATTTATTAATAATCCTGTCACTCCACAATATATAATGTGAGCTATTGACAATAGCATTAGATAAACTATGAATAAAAACAAAGTAGATCACTGGGCGTATTTCTTGTTCTTAACCTCCAAAACGTCTGTGACGTGGGTGGACGTTTCGTAAGGCAAGGGACGCAACCGACTTGCACCTAACCTGAAATACTGATGGATATAAGAAATGTGTTGCTGTCAGCATGTTTTAGATTATTTTACGTATGTATGAAGCATATGTCACTTCACTGGAATAGAAAATAATTTAACAGAATTTGTAAATAGTAGATTTTAATGCAATAGTAAATTATTTCTAGAACTTTCACTGTAGGTGAGCGGTTGTTCCTTTGTTACTGTTTCGTTATTATTAATGTCTTACTGTCGTTCTATATCAGTGGTATTCAACCTGGGGTACGCGAAGCTATCTGAGGGGGTACGTGAAATTTAAAAAAGTATATATTATTTTATGATAAACACTGTATAATCAGTAATGTAATTTAATTAATTTATTTTAGATGTAGATTATATACTATGTATAACTTGAATTATACACC